CAAGGAGAAGGGCAGCTGATGTCCCCTTGGTCATCCCTTCCTGACTACAGGAGACAGGCCTTATCCGGCTCCTCCGTCGGGAGATAGATGCAGTTTTCCGAGAGAACCGAATGATAGCTGTCTGTCAGAATGTGGCTCTGAGTGCAGAGGACAAGCTTCTCATACGGCACCGGCTGCGGAAGCACAAGATCTTGATGAAGATCTTCCCCAACCAGGTAGGGAGCAGCCCTCTGATACGGGCACCCTGTTCCCCCACCCCCGCCAACTCAGACCACAGGGGGCCCCTCCCCAGATCGGGTGTGTTCGACCCTCCCACCGCAAGCAACCCTCCCGTCTGGTGCCTACGCTGTGGTTGGGGGCCGAGGAGACTGACGGCTTGCACCCTCAGCCTGACTTGGCCTGTGATCAGGGTGGGCAGCCCTTCCTCCCACTTGTCCCCAGGAAGCCCTCTTTCCTGCTGTTCCAGGTTCTGAAGCCCTTCCTAGAGGATTCCAAGTACCAAAACCTGCTGCCCCTCTTTGTGGGCCACAACTTCCTGCTGGTCAGCGAGGAGCCCAAGGTCAAGGAGATGGTGCGAGTCTTAAAGGGTGTGCCTTTCCTGCCACTGCTCGGTGAGCAAGCACCCTGCGGGTTGAGGATGGGGGTGAAGGGGAGTGGGTGCTACTGCAGCCTGGTGCCATCTGCTAAGTACATGTGGGTAAAACTGTGGACCTCCTTGGGGGGGACATCCTCTCATGGATGGGGCCTGAGTCAGTAACACCATTTGTTTTTTGGTGTTTTTTTAAAGATTGTATTTATTTTTTTGACAGAGAGACACAGCGAGAGAGGGAACTCAAGCAGGGGGAGTGGGAGAGGGAGAAGCAGGCTTCCCGCGGAGCAGGGAGCCCGATGCGGGGCTCGATCCCAGGACCCTGGGACCATGATCTGAGCCGAAGGCAGACGCTTAACGACTGAGCCACCCAGGCGCCCCAGTAGCACCATTTGTTGAGGGCTGCCTGTGTCCCTCCAGAACCTGTGTTGGCTCTCACTGCCCTGCGTCCGTCCTCCCTCCCTCCCTCCCTCTCTCCCTCCCTCCCTCTCTCCCTCTCTCCCTCCCTCACTTCCTCCCTCCCTCCCTCCCTCTCTCCCTCCCTCCCTCTCTCCCTCTCTCCCTCCCTCACTTCCTCCCTCACTTCCTTCCTCCCTTCCTCCCTCCCTCCCTCTCTCCCTCTCTCCCTCGCTCCCTTCCTTCTTTTTTAGATTTATTTATTTTAGGGAGAGAGAGAGCTCAGGCAGGGGGGCGGGGTGAGGGGCAGGGGCAGAGGGAGAGGGGGAAGGAGAGAAGCAGACTCTGCGCTGAGCGGGGAGCCCCATGCGGGGCTGGATCTCACAGCCCTGAGATCATGACCTGAGCCAACACCGAGAGTCGAGAGTCGGATGCTTAACCACCTGAGCCACCCAGGCGCCCCAGTCCTGTGTCATTTCTGCAGGGGCGGGGCGGGGGGGTGGAGAGGAGGGAAAGCAGAGAGAGGGCTCTGCAGGGAGAGGAAGTTCAGACACCTTGAGTCTAGCAGTGGGGTGCAGAAAGCCACACAGACGGAGATACTTAAACAGCCCAGGGGAAGGGCACTGAGGGGCAGTGAGCAATGTTTCCCAGACTCCCCTAATGCTGGGGATCCCAGGAGATGATTCTTCTAGAGAAGACTGGTTTCATAGCTACCCCACTACACACACACGCTCTGTGGTTCTTTCTTTCTTTTTTTTTTAAGATTTTATTTATTTATTAGAGAGAGACAAGTGGGAGCGAGAGGGAGAGGGAGAGGCAGGCTCCCCGCTGAGCAGGGAGCCTGATGCGGGGCTCGATCCCAGGCCCCTGGGATCATGACCTGAGCCGAAGGCAGATGCTCAACTAATTGAGCCACCCAGGCGCCCCTCTGCGGTTAAGAAGGTTTAGGAAACCATGACTTAGTTGGGGGTGGGCCAGGTGGATGTCTTATGTGAGTGTTTTCTAGGGAAGAGTTAGGAAGGAAGGGAGGGGATCAGTCCCAAACTGAGGGGGAGCTGGGTGGGACAGGTGTGGGAGCCAGATTTGGGGGAAGGCTGGGAGGTGGAGGAGGGTGGCAGAGCGTGCGTTGGAACCTTGAGCTGGACCGTTGGTTTCAGCGGAGAGAGGCATTTGCGGGGGCCCCGCTGAGCCTGTGTTCCTCCAGGTGGCTGCGTCGACGGCACCATCCTCAGCAGGCAGGGCTTCATCAGCTACTCCCAGCTTCCCAGCCTGGCCATGGTGCACGGAGAGCTGGTAGGAGGACTCACCTTCCACATGGCCCAGACCCACCTCTTGCTTCAGCACCAGCCCTTCCAGCTGACGGCCCTGCTGGACCAGTACATCAGACAGCAACAGGAGGGGCACTCCATCGCGCCAGCCAGCGGGCAGCCTGCTTCTCCTGACTCTGTTCCGAACTCCTAGCCAGCCTGTTGTACCTAGCCTGCCCGTAAACACACTCTACCCCTGTTGGCTGCGCCCTCATCCATCAATCAGAAATGTGGAAGCACTTGGGGTGGGGAGTGGCGTTCGTGACCTGACTTCACTGACCCCGACTTCCTCAGATACAGGGCCACCCAGGGATGCAGAGACACCCCATTTCCGAATGGAGGCTCTGAATTGCTGTCTTTGTCCCTAGTGTTCCCACCCTGGGACCTAACAGGAGCAGGCTTTTGGCTCTCCGGGTCCAGGGCAGAGAAGCTGACCAGATGAGGAGGTTGCCCTCTGCCTCCATGTCCCCTGTCCCTTGCCGCACGTGTCTCCCGGCCTACCCCCTTGTGGGCCCGCCGTGCTGCCGTAGTCCCCCTTGGTACTTGTGCTGAGAATGGCATCTGTTGAGAGCCAGGCTCTGTGCTCACCACTTGACACACCTCCATTCTTCTCGCCATGTCACCCTAACATTCGTCATTTCACAGAGAAGTTCAGGAGTCTGCCCAAGGTCATGCAGCTAATAAGAGACCCGACAGGTGCTTGAACCAGGCTCTCTGCTCTGAAGACCATGCCCTGGATTTCTGCCCTCAAGCTTCCTCATTAGGGTCTGGGGTGTGCCTGAATGTTAATTCTCCACCCTCAGGGTGTGTCACGTTATGGAAAGGTTGGGAGCACTGCTTGTTGATAAAATGAAATGCATTTTATTTCCTCGGTTTTGCTGTTTGCAAGCTTATCCTCCGTGTAGACTTATTCTCAGGGCTGCCTCTGATTCTGACTTCCCCTCCTAGAAAATCCTTCCTCTTTCCGTGTCCAGGTCTCTTACCTCCCTGGACCAGTCCCACAAATGGCATCTCTTACATGTTTTCCTTTTGAAGGCTGCTGCCAACTTTGCCCGGTAGCTAACATGTCCCAGGTGATTCTGAGCAAGAGCTGGGCCAAACTAGAATTCTGTATTAATGAGGGGGCCTGGAGGCTCTTGAGTGGGAGGCCTCATCCCAATCTTGGAGAACCAGAAGTTCCTAATGAAGGAGAGAGAATGTTTAACTGGAAGCCTGCCCTTGTCCTTGATTGGAGCAGGGAAGGTGGCTGTCGAACTTTCCTCCCAGACCTGGGGCAGTGCAACAGCTTCCTTAGTCCTGGACAGACACCACTCTAGCAGTGACGATCTGCAGCTTTTCTGTGGCCTGGTCCAGGACCAATTTCCCACAGTGCCCAGGTCGGTGCCATATGCCCCAGGGATGCTCAATCGATAGGAAGTGAATTAAAAGGCCCCTAAGGCTCGTGGATGTCAGAGCTGGTCTTGCTAGTGCTGCTCAGTGCCCTCCCTGACTCCCAGAACCCTGCCGGGTGCCAACAACACCCTCCTGGGGCAGCAGGAGCCGTGCTGAGGTTCTGAATGGACAAGAGAACAGGCATCTCCCAAAGGATGTGTAAGATCCTGTAGGGTAAACCAAGGCCTGGGTGGGGGAGGTGGCCCACATCCCTTCTGGATCAAAGAATCCTGCACTGCATCCCTCACCTGCTGGCGATGCCTGAGGCCCCACCATTAAAACTCACTTTCCAGAAAGCAGCTTCACTGTCCTTAAAGCTGTCTGTCCATCTTGCATTCATTTTAATGAGGTTTAGACTTTTTTTTTTAAAGATTTTATTTATTAAGAGAGCACATGCGCCCGAACGGGGGAAGGAACAGGGGGAGAGAGAGAATCTCAAGCAGATTCTGTGCTGAGCGCAGAGCCCTACGCAGGGCTCAATTTCAAGACCCTGAGCCAAAAATCAAGAGTTGGATGCTTAACCGACTGGGCCACCCAGGTGTTACATGTTTAGACCTTAAGAGTTGATTTTTAATTAGAATCAAGTACTGAGCTGAACACAGTACTCTGGCAGAAGAGGTGCTCAGAAAGGGAGGCCGGGGATACCTGAGTTGGCTCCAGCTAGCCCTAACAGCCACCTGGTCACTGCTGCAGACCTGCTCCTGATCCAGAGACTCTGCAAGCTGGGGATTTTGTGTTACACACGGGTGCCTCCGGCCCCTTGGGTCCCGCCCTGGTGGGGCATCACCCGCAATGACAGCCTCGGTGGGGGCCGCTGCCTGTCCCTCTCCAGCGGTGGCCGCCCTGCTGACCGTGCTGTTGGCACTGTCTGTTGTGGTCCCCCAGGGGCATCCGTCCCTTCCCGTCAACCTGATTCCTTTGCTGGCTCCAAATTTTGCAATCTATTTTCAGATGTAAAACGAGAGGGGGGCGGTTAATAAGGAAATGGCCTTGGGTACTCACTGGGGTCAAGGCCATGCTAGTCCGAGTAAACCCTTTACCACCGCTGGCTTGAGGCCAGCAGCTCCCCAGTCCTCCATGATCTGTCTGGAACTGCGCCCAGTGGGGGCTCTGCCCCCACTCCCAAGCTACCTCGGTGCTGGGGAGTCCGCTCAGCCCTGAGTCCTCCCGGGAGCAGGGGGGCAGAGCTGAGCGGCCGCCCGGAGCTTGGCGGGAGGAGGGGCCGGGGAGGGGGGGAGGTGGGGAGATCCGGCTGGAGGGGAGGCTCCGACGTCTCCTTCCTTCCTGGTTCCTGCAGCAGCTGCTGCCACTGCTCAGCTCCGTGAGGAGGGAGCGGGCCACTCGGAGACAGTGACTCAGAGGCAGAGCGGTGCGCGGGCCAAGGAGCACGGGCGTCCATGGACCCTGGGGTAAGGGGACCACGCTGGCATCAGCTGACACCCCCCGGGCAGGCTTCCTCCCACCTGAAGCTGGCGGGTCTGCCCCTCCGGAGATGGGGGTGGGAATGGAAGTGGAGATGGGGCACCAACGTGGCTCACCTCGACCCCGTACCACCTCCTGGCAGAGCCTCCACCTCCAGGCGCCAGCAGCGAGGGGCCAGGAGCATCCGGGGCCAGGAAAAGGGCACAGAGGTACCCAAACACCGGAAGAGTTTGGGAACTTTCAATGGCCAGATGCAGGAGTTTTTACCCGCCCCCCCACCCTGGGTCAGCCTCTTGCACTCCGGGCCCCTCCGTCCCGACCTCTTGGCCACCACGACCCCACCGCGTCCCTGTCCCTTCCTGGCCTCAGCTCCTCAGGTGCTTGCTGGCTCCATTGGAAGATCTGAGCTGTTTGCCCAGCCTCGGGCCAGCCTCGCCCCTCCAGTCCCCTCCCTGTCTCACACACTCAGAGCCTCATGCATTATTGATCTCCCTGTGGAGCCAGGGCAGCCAGGGCTGGTGCCAAGGGCGCCTGTGGGCACTGCTGCGGGACCTGTGTGGACCGTGGCATGTTCTTGGCCACCTCTTCTCCTGCACACGGTGCCTCCCTGGGCCCAGTCCCCTGCTCTCTCTCCGGGTGGGTACTTATCAGGAGCCCCAAGGACTGGGATGATAGAAGGGAGGCTTCGGCGGGGGTCTGAGGGTCTCAGGTGGGCATCCTAGGGTAGAGGCACAGGGAACAATGGGGAGAGGGCTGTCTCAGGCCTCAGTTTCCCCATGCAGAAGATAGAGGATCTGGAGACCGATTGGTGGGGAGTTGGGATGAAGGGGTTAGGAGCACTCTGCAGAGGCATCGTGGCAGAGGCGTCTACAGCCCATGATGGCGGCAGGGTGGAGGGATGTCCAGGGGTCCTAAAGGAAGAGAGGCTGGATTGAGATCTTGCTTGTCCATTTTCTGAATTCCTCTGTCCTTTTTTAGAGCCTCTTTTTTCACTCCCATGCCTCATCTCTGATCACCCCCAGGGAATCCTCCAGAGAAAGCACTGAGTGTTTCCTAGAGCCTGAGAGTGTGGGCCCAAGGTGGGGCTGGGCGGACTTTTGTGGTTTTCTCTTGGCACCGGCCTGTGGGCTGCGTGCTAGTTCAGCTAGTTCACCTCTCTGAGCAGTGGCCGCAGCTGGAGGGTGTGGGCAGGGAAACCGGCCCAGGGTGGGGAAGGGACAAACTCGGAGAGGCCTGGCAGGTGAGCAGATGCGGGTGAGCTCTTATCTCAGACGATGCAGGAGGGGTGGGAGGTGGGGAAGGTGAGAGCAGGGTCTGTGCTCATGGCGTCTCTCTCTTGCTTCAAGGGTCCCCTCAGGACAAGGTGACATCCTTCTCCTTCCACCCCGTTCTACCTTCTCGGCAGGGAGTGGCCGCTCCCTTCTCCATGGACTTCCAAGAGAGGGTCCCTAACTCCTTGGCCGAGAGCACTCAGTCTGCAAAGCCAAGCAGTGCCCAGCAGGTCTGAGGGTGGGGAAGCAGGCAGTGGGGGGATAGAACTTGGCCCAAAAGTGGGGGCCAGATTTGGTCACCTTCCCAGCTGCTTTCCTACATCTCTGTCCTGGATGGCAGGCCTCTGAGCTGTGGGAGGTGGTGGAGGAGCCACGGAGCAGGCTGGGAGCAGAGGGCATCATGCTGGAGAGGCAGGAAGGCCACCTGCTCAAGAAAAGGAAGTGGCCTCTGAAGGGCTGGCACAAGGTAGGGTGGGCAGGGCCAAGGGAGGGGCCAGATGCAGGGGTGGGACGGGCACATGGGAGAGTGTGTGGGCAGTACAGGGGCTGTGTGTGTGGAGAAGAAGAAAAGTCCATGTGTGTGGTTGCTCTCTCCCCATACCCTTTCCTCTCGCCTCCTGGGTTCTCGTTCCTTCTGGGCCACGTCACAGAGATACTTTGTGCTCGAGGACGGGATCCTTCATTATGCAACCACTCGGCAAGACGTGAGTCAGGGCCTCTGCTGGGGGTCGTGGGAATGTGTGTGGCCCCAGAATGCTCCGAATAGGCGGGGGACTTCTGGAATCCATCAGAGCAGGGTCTGATCCCAGCTACACCATTTCTGGGTGTGGGATCTTGGGCAAGTTCCTTCCCTGGGCCTCAACTCCCTCATCTCTAAGATGGAGAGAGTACGACCCCCCGTTTGTAGGGTAGTCTTCTTGGTGAGGGCCCTCGGGACAGTGCCTGGCACAAAAATTAGTGTCCAGGAAGCAGGAGCTTTCTCATCCGTGCCCTCGTCCTGTTCCTGTGCTGGGAACAGGAACCGAAGGCCTACACGCTCAGGCTCACCATCCGAGAGGGTGTTTGCCTTCTCCGTCTTGCGGGTTCCTGAGAGCAGTTTTCCTGGCTCCGTGACTCCCTTGAGTTCAGTATGTGACTTGACATAGTGGGGTGTTCTGGGCACAGGCGGACAGCTGACAAGTCCCTGCTGATGCTGTGACTCAGGGATGAGGGTGAACCCACTGCCTGGCCCTGGAGCCTAGAGTCACCTCAGGAAGATGGTGGCTCCATGGTCCCCGGGGGCCTAAAAACAGTCCCATTTTCCCCCTGCTAACCCTCCACTCCAGATCACCAAGGGGAAGCTTCATGGCTCCATTGATGTCCGACTGTCTGTCATGTCCATCAACAAAAAGGCCCAGCGCATTGACCTTGACACCGAAGATAACATCTACCACCTCAAGGTGACATTCCTGGGAGCCAAGTGGTGGCTTGGGTCCCAGCCTGGCGGAGACACAAGGGCACACCGGAGAGAGGGGCGGGGGCTGAGGGTCTGTCCCTGAGGTCCACAGCAAGGGCTTTCCCATCGTATACAATGGCCAACGGCAAACCGCCTTCTTGGTTGTTCTGTAAATGGGCACAGAGCTAAGCGCTCAGACTCCTGGGCTCTGCCTCCCCGCAAGGAGCCTTAGCACAAGCTGGGGACCACAGGGGGAGACCACTTGCCTGGGGATCAGAGCCCCGACTTCCTGCCCCAGTGAAGCAGTCCTTCCTTTCATGCTTCCCTCCCCATCTCCATCGCCTCTGCAGATCAAATCCCAGGACCTGTTCCAGAGCTGGGTGGCCCAGCTTCGTGCCCACCGCCTGGCCCAGCGCCTGGACATGCCCCGAGGCTCGCTGCCTGGCACCACTCACCGGAAGGTAAGAAGGGCCCTGCGTGGGGGCAGGTGACAGGGGCACCCAGGGGTGGTGGCTTCAGGGAATCACGAGACCCAGGGATGTGGGCACTGTCCCGCCTCACCCTTGATGCACCCCGCAGGTTCCTGGTGCCCAGCTTCCAGCAGATACCAGCGCCTCGGCTCCACCTGGGGCTGGACCTCGGGAGAAGGTGTCTTCCTGGCCAAGGGACAGTGATGGGTTAGACCGCTGCTCTCATGGTGAGGGGCCCGTGGCACTGTGCCTATGATGTTGGCCCAGGAGAGGGAAGTGCCAGCAAGTGGGGACAGAGTCAGTCCGTGTGGAGGCAGCAGAGTTGAGGTGTGTTGTGGAGACAGTGGGGGTTGGGGTGCCAGCCCTCTCAGGAGACCGGTGTGAGGCCAGACCCAGGCTGAGACGTGGGAACTGCTTTGGGCTCCTGAGCCGAAGAGGGGGATCCAGGGTCAGGGTTTCTGTGGCTGCCGGGTGAAGTGTTCGGAGGAGGAAGGGAAGCTGAGGGACGGACTTTGGGGTACCCGGTCAGTGTTGGGAGAGGGACTTCCTCATTCATTCTTCCCGCAGAGCTGTCTGAGTGTCAGGGGAAGCTCCAGGAACTACACAGACTCCTCCAGAGCCTGGAGTCCCTGCACCGAATCCCCTCAGCCCCAGTTATCCCCACGCACCAGGTGAGGGCCGGGGGGAGGAAGCAGGGGCCTACCCAGGGGCCTCTCCTGCTTGATGCCTGCATGCCCACCGCTTCCCTGGGACAGATCCCCAGGCCCCCTTATATGCTGCAGCTCCCTGGAGAGCCATGCATCGGCCTAGCTGACTCACCTCCCATGTCCAGACTGTCTCAGGGTCGCGTCTCTGCCCCTTGGGGCCGACCCCTGCCTGCTGTGCCCACTCATCTACTAGGGCGTCTGTCTTCTTCCTCTGCGATGTCAGATGTCTCTGTGCCCCCCTCCGGGGCCATCTGCCTCTCTCCTGGCTTTCATGGTTGCTGCCCTTCTCCCTGAGTGAAACCCCCCTCCATGTGCCAGGCCTCAGTGACAACCGAGAGACCCAGGAAGGGGAAGCGGACCAGCCGCATGTGGTGCACACAGAGCTTTGCCAAGGACGACACCATTGGACGGGTGAGCTGGGGCGTGGACCCGAAGTCGCCGGGTGGGATGCCCTGAAGGAGGCTGTCACCTTTGACCCCTGCCCTTCACCTACAGGTTGGTCGTCTCCACGGCTCTGTTCCCAACCTGTCTCGCTACCTGGAGTCCCGGGACCCCTCAGGCCCCCGCGGGCTGCCGCCCCCAGACTATGCCCACCTGCAGCGTACTTTCTGGGCCCTGGCCCAGAAGGGTGAGTGCATGCGGGAGGGGCGGCAGGGAGCAGGCAGGGGGAGGGAGAGGAAGAGGAGTCTGACGCCTGCCCCTGCCCCTACAGTGCACAACTCCCTCAGCAGCGTCCTGGCTGCCCTGACCGCCGAGTGGGACCAACTGAGGGACCTGCACCAGGGTTCAGAGCTGTCACAGGTGGGGGTGAGGCTCAGGGACCGGGGAGCCGTGGGAGGAGAGGGCTTGAGGCCGAGGCTCGCAGGCCTGGGGGTGAGAGCAGAGCTGGGTCCAGGGCGAGAGTGGCTGGCAGAGGCAGTCTGTGCAGAGATCAGTGTGGTGGGGTGGGGAGGGCTTTGTCCTCCTGGCCCCTGGCCCCTCACCCTCTCCCTGCAGGTCTCCCAGGCCTCCGCTGGCCCGAGGCGCCTCCATTCGCTCTCCGTCTCCTCGGACACCACTGCAGACTCCTTCAGCTCCCTCAACCCCGAGGAGGTAGGAGCCAGGCTGGGCTGTGGGGACCCTTTCTCCTGCATCTTCTTCCTCGGGGAAGTGAAGTGAAGGCACTGTTGGTCTTCAGACCCAAAACAGGGCCAGAAGTCCTAGCTCCAGCCCTTTCATGTAACACTGTCAGCAACCTCATCGTGGTCATTCCTGCCTGGCCAGTGTGTGCAGAGTGCTTTTACCTTTAGTTTTGGGTCCTCTGAGGCCATGATCCTTACCCTCAAGTTCATGGTGGAGGATACGGAGACTCAAAGAATCTGACCGATGGGGGCCCAGACTCCCACAATTGCGGATTGTTGGTTGGCTGAGCTGGCACAGACTCTGGGGCCGGGCTCCATGGGTTTCAGTTTAGCTCCATTCCACGCCCGCTTTGTGACCCTGAGCCTCAGTGTCCTGATCTGCAAAGTGGGGGATCATAATTGCGCCTGCTGCATAGGGTGAGCATCAGGATGGATTGTGTTAATACACACGGAAACCTTGGAGCCCGGCTCAGAGTCAGCGCCCAGGCAGGGTGAGCGGCTGTGGGGAACCTGTGTCTCCTTGCTCCCAGTTCCTTCCGTCACACCTTCCTATTCCACTGTGTTCTCTCCCCTGCCTGACACCCATCCTTCCCACAGCAAGAAGCTCTGTACATGAAGGGGCGGGAGCTGACCCCCCAGCTGTCCCAGAGCAGCGTCCTGTCTCTCGCTGAGTCCCACACAGAGTTCTTTGATGCCTGTGAGGTTCTCCTCTCTGCCAGCTCTTCTGAAAATGAGGTGAGGGGGTGGGGGGAGGCCTGGGAAGATTGGGATGGGGTCCAGAGAGACTAGAATTTGTAGATTCCCAAATCCTTTCTAACGCCTCGGCTGCTATCTCTGGCAACACGTCCGGACCTGCTGGGTTGGTGTCCCTGCTCAGAAATCTCTGCTGGGGACCCTTCTTCCAGTTCGATGTGCTTTATCCCCGTTGGTTCTCCAGCAAGACGGCTGCCTCAGTCCCACCCGCCATCTTCCTGAGAGCCCGTCGGCCCCAGCATTCCCCTGACCCCTGCCCCGGACCCGGGGTCTCAGCAATGCCCTGCTGCCCTGTCCTTGTGTACCACCAAGTCCCTGAGCTTTCTCCCCAAAGTGAGAGGGCCAGGCGTCCCCCTCCCAAAGTGGCAGGGCACACTCCCTGATGCCGGTCTTAGAGCTCAGAGCCCCCCGCCACCCAGATACGTGTCTTCCCCCTTCCCGTCAAAGGACTGGCTGGGCAGAGTCTTGCCAGGCCCTGGGCACTGCCCAGCTGCCCGGGGAGGCCCAGTCTGCCCAGCCTCTCATCTGTCCCGGCCCAGGGCTCAGAGGAGGAGGAGTCGTGCACCAGTGAAATCACCACCAGCCTGTCCGAGGAGGTGCTGGACCTCAGGGGAGCTGAGCACTATCAGAAAGGTGCCCGCTGGGTGTGCAGCCATGGGGGCGCTGGGGAACAGGTAGAAATGGTGTTTGCCCACAGCCCAGGCCCCTTGGGAGGCAGTCTCTTGGGGTGACTGGTGGGCTGACAGCTTTGGGTGCTGACTCCAGAAGTGACCCCAGGAGATGAGGAAGGCTAAGCTGTGAGCTACAGAATGTTCCAGAAGTGGCTCCGGGGGTGGGTCCGGCTCAGGCCTGAGAAGGTTCGCATAGGGCCTGATACAGAGGCAGAAGCTCCCACCTTGCCACTCTTTACCAGTGTGGCTTTGGACATGTCATTTTACTTCTTGGAGCCTCCTTCCTCATCTACAAAATGGGCCGAATAATCTATATCCTGACATCGGTTTCTGTGTCTATGGTGGGGAGCTGATGATAAGGGTGGGGGGCTCAGGAGGGGCTTCTGGGGTGCAGGGTTTCCCCAGTGGGGACCGCCCTCTCGGAGTGGTTCTCGGCCCCGCTGCCCCCCCTAAATCCCCCAGGAGCTTGTCTGCAATTGGCTCCCCAGCTGCCCCACCCTGCCCCAAGTCCAGAGGGGGCTTGGGAGTGAGTCTGTCTAGGAGCCCCCTCTGGGGGGGGTGGGCACCTCGGGGCTGGCCTGTGCACCTGCTGGGTCTGGGTGCTGCACCCAGAGGGAGAGTGACGTGGCCGGGTGGGCCCCAGGGGCATGTGTTCCAGGGAGAGCTGCAGGGCCCCCGCGTCGCCGCTGCCTGCCAGCAGCCAGTGGGCCAGGAGCCGACGTGAGCCTGTGGAACATACTGCGGAACAACATCGGCAAGGACCTGTCCAAGGTGTCCATGCCCGTCCAGCTCAACGAGCCGCTCAACACCCTGCAGCGGCTGTGCGAGGAGCTGGAGTACAGCTGCCTCCTGGACCAGGCCAGCCGCACGGCCGACCCCTGCGAGCGCATGGTACCCCGCCCACTCCCGGCCGGCCCCCTCCTCGCTGCCGGACTTCCACCTCGGGCCCCCCAGCCCTTGCCTGCCGTGGGGTGGCACCTCCCCTTCTCTGACCCCCTCCCCCCCAGCGGCATCTCCCTGCCCTCCCCCCTGCAGGTGTACATCGCGGCCTTTGCCGTGTCTGCCTACTCGTCCACGTACCACCGAGCAGGCTGTAAGCCCTTCAACCCCGTCCTGGGGGAGACCTACGAGTGTGAGCGGCCTGACCGGGGCTTCCGCTTCATCAGTGAGCAGGTGTGGGCCTCATGGGGGCCTGGGGCCGGGAAGCGCCGGGGCTTCGGAGGGGTCAGGGCTTGGGGGAGAGCGCGGGGTGGCCGGCTCTGCGCCAGGCACTGGGCCGCGTGGTGGTGGCGCTCGGGGCTCTCTGCTCCGGGGAGCCCCCTGCCGAGTGTGCGGGCCGACTTGACCCAGGGAGTTTTATGGGGCCATGTTCTAGAGCCGGGAGCCCGGAAGCTCATAGGCCGCTCTTCAGCCCTACCCGGGAAGGCAGGCTCTGGGGGCTGATCCTGAGCTAAGTCTTGAGGGAGGAATTGACGGGCACCAGGAGTACGGGCTGGGAGGGCGTGGAGAACGGGATGCTTCAGACAGTGTAAAGGAACAGATGGAGCATGTTTAGGAAGAGTAAGAGACGCAGCTGGAAGGACAGACAGGGCCAAACCCTGAGGAGCCCTGTGAGCAAAGCGGTTGTTCTCAAATCCCGAAGGCGATGGGGAGTTGTCGGAGGGTTTTCGGCCGTAGAGGGACAGGCTCCGAATTGCACTCTATCAAGAGCACTCAGGCGGTCGCATGCGGATGGGTCAGAGAAGGTCACCCCTGTAAGAGCTGCTGAGGGCCTGCACTTGGTCGCTAGCAGCCGGATTGCGTGGACAGTGGATTCGGCAGCTGTGTATGTGTCGCTCTCGACAGGACTCGGTGGTCAACAGAATGTTGTCACGCATAAGGAATAGGGGAGGTGGTCAATGCGAGGGAGAAGTCGGAGGTGGCCTTGAATTTCTGGTTTGGGGGATTCAACGGCTGTGTGGCCGTGCCAGTGAGCAAGATGGAAAGGACGAGAGGAGAGTGACTGAATTAGGGCGACTCCTTATCCATGTGGGCTTGACTTCCATGGGGAGATGTCCAGTAGGCCCTGGACCACGTGGGCATGGAGCTCCTTGGGGGGCACAGGGTGGGGCTAACAGACCTGGGAGTCACCAGCTTAGAGGACGGATGACGTCACAGGCTGCTCCGCGGGGAGGGTCTGGACAGGAGGGTGGGCAGGGAAGGCGGAGGAGCTCTGAGGTGAGGGGGTGGGCAGATGGTCCACAGGACTTCAAAAAGTGTCATTGGTTTACTGAGTGAGGGATGTTTCAGAGGAAGGCTGGGGGCCGAGCCTGGATTACAGTGGGTGTGTAGTAAAAAGAAGTAAAATAGAGAAAAGTGCTACTTAAAATTAAATGGGGCGCCTGGCTGGCTCAGTCAGTAGAGCATGTGACTCTTGATCTCAGGCTTGTGAGTTCAAGTCCCATGTTGGGCATAGAGCTTACTTAAAAAAATAAGATTAGGGGCACCTGGGTGGCTCAGTCAGTTAAACAACTGATTCTTGGTTTCAGTTCAGGTCATAATCTCAGGGTCATGAGATCAAGCCCTGTG